CGCCCGCCCCCCAGTTGCTCTGCCCCGGGCGTCCCCAAGAGCAGCTGGGGTGCTGCCAGGTTGGTCCCGCAGCCCCAAGGGGTAGCGCTACCAGACCAACCCAGCAGCACCCCAGCTTCCCCGCTCCCAGCTTCCCCGATTCAGCTGCTGGTCAGTTTCAGCAGCAGCTGAATGGGGGAAGCCTGTCCGGCTGCCCCAGCACTTCTGGGTTCCTGATGGTGCCGGACCATCAGGAGTCCCGGAGCATTGGATGCCGGACTAATGGAGTTTTACTGTACATGATTAGTTGTCATGGCTCCTTCCCCACTCTGGCATGATAAATGCAGAAGTGGGGCCAGCAAGTGTACCCCAACGCCTTACCTACTAGGCTTTGGTATAAAACTTCCCCCAAAATCTTAAAAACCTAGATTTTGGGAATAAAACTTCCATTGCCACCACCCAAATATTAATAACGAGATTAGGGGAAAGATCATTTGGGAAATCTCACCCCTATTATAAAAATCAGGACACACAAGTAACCAATGCCAGGTTAATAAAAAGAATAGAGAAAACTTTTATTATTACAACAATATTCCTGTTGCAAGCATAAGGATCAGATGGAAAGGTAACAAAATATACTCATGGAGGAATTACACCATGGGCCAGAACTTAGTTAAAAAGAAAAGCCAAACATCTCTTAAGCAGTGCCACATATCAGATCCCATACCCAACCCTTAAAACAATAAAGCCTAATGAAACTACCTAAACTTTACCCTACTTACAGAAAGTGAAGAATTGTGAGAGAGCAAGAGAGAGCGAGCAAGCTGCAGAAGACTCCCCAGAGACAGAGGGGGGAAAAAACCCAAATTCCTTTGTCCCAGTTTGAAAGTCCTACCTACATTCCTATTAACTACTCCACCTGGCTAGATGTAGTTAACCCCTTAATCCCCAGGTTGCTGGCTAACCCTTGTAATCATGACATTAGTCAGTAAGGTAAGGTACTCTGTCCCACTTCACACCAGTCCAGGAGTTATCCCCACTGCGACTCTGCAGTTTAAATGTAGTAGGAGCTGGGTGTGCAGGCAGCCTGATTCCTATTACATTTAAACTGTATAGCCACAGTGGGGTAGGACCTGGACTGGTGTGAGCTGGAACAAAGCTAGGACTGCTATGGCTCTGCATTTTAAATGTAGTAAACCTGAGCGGCTCTTACTGCATTTTAAATGCAGAGCCGCAGCGGTCCCGGGTTGGCGTGAGCCGGGACTGCTCAGTCCTGGCTTACACCGGGTCCAGCAGCTCCTGTTCACGGCAGCCGCAGACAGGGGCTACTTCATGGCAGCCACACCTATCCACGGGTGGGGGGGACATCTCCTCACTGGGACCCTGCGGACAGAAGCTGTTTTGCGGCAGCCTCCCCTCCCCCTGCTACTTCCTCTATTAAAGGCATCAGCTGGGTTGGGGGCAGGTGGTACTGCGGAGATGTGCTGGGGGGAACCGGCTTTTAAAGATGCTGATACAGAGGCAGCAAAAGAGGGGGAAGTTGAGTACTTGACTACTTGCTTACATCCCTGCTCAAGTATAGATGCCTTGTATCCCTGTGTACACACGTCATGTCAAATTTTAGTAGGAGTGATAACCCATTAGGCTTTTGTCTTTGTCACATTTCACAAGTTAAGCAGGACTGAGCTTGGAAAATACTTGTCTAAAAACAGTCCAAGAAAAACCAAGTTTCACAGGAAGTGATACTACTGATTCATTAGGTGGCATGCTTTCCCCAGAGTCGATATAGAATAAACACCCTGGCATGGTATTTGTATATCTAAGAGTACAGTACCCATGTATTTCAAAGTAAATAGAAAAGGCCTGACCATTTGTAGTCATTGACAATCCTGTGATTTTTCTGCAAGTCCGAGTTTCAGTCCTGTTATGTTAGCCAAATTCCAGTCTAAGTAATTAATTGTTTTTTGCCTACCTAAAACTATCCCTGCTGTTTTAATTGGGGGCTGGATTCATTTTCCTCATGTAGTGTTTACAGTGTTTTAATGGTGTACAGCATGTTCTATTCTTTAATGGTCCTAGAACTCCTGAAGATTTTACATAAATTTAGATTAATCAATGCTGTCTGCTTTCTCTTCAGGCACCAAGCAAATTTCTTTTAGCGACTAAAGAATTTTCTGATAATCTCTTAATGTCCCTCCAAATCAAACTCTAGTGGGTCTTAAAATCCAGTGGACTGCAAGCTCTGAAGTTACATGTCAATTGCAAATGAAGTGGTTCCAACCCAATATATTTTTATATCTTCAATTTTAAAGTCAGGTTTTATTAGTTGTATGAATTTATGGTGAAAGCTACTAATAAACCAAGCTAGTAGTAAAATTTTGTTGTTGTTTTTTCCTGGAATTTAGTAAGGTATCCTCTTTTTCTTCACTTGTAGGACACCAGATGCCTTAGTGCCTGCTTGGGGAGATGAAGTGAATGGAGAAGAAAGTTCTGATAGTGAATCTTCATTTAGTGACTAAAGAGACTGATTTCTGCCTTAGGGAACTTTTGATAAGTGCTATATGTCTGGAGCTTTTTACCATATAGCAGGAGAGTGGTAAATTATTCATAAAGTTCAAACCAAACCAAATAACTTTTTTGGTGCTAAGGTCCTCATGTTATCTTCCAGTAAATTTTAACAGACAACACATTCCACCCAAACTAAGATCTCAATCCATATTGCTCATAAAAATTATCACAACCTTAGATGGTCTTGTATATGATTTGTCCATCTTGCAGAAGTAAAAAATACTCTATGTATTAAACTGTCGTTTGTTGAACTCTAATAAAGACCTTGGTCTGATATTAGACTTGTAATTTAACATTTTGCTTATCTAAATTCATTCTTCCTATCCCATAGCTTGCAAGCTAGACTTTTCAAAATAGAATGACTTAAGTGAAACACCATATCATAAGAAACACTACAGTGCATTAGTCTGAAATTAAGTGATGCAGCAGAAAATACAGAAGATGGCTATTTTATAATGAACACGAGGAGTTCTTTATCACAAACTGATCTAAAAATCAGATTTTCAAAAAAGTATATCTGGCTTTGAAAGCGTAAACTGCTTTTCAGACTCTAATTTGTTATAAAGTTTGTTTAACTTCTATTTCTTAAAGCAAATCTATATCAATCCAGATCAGACTAGAATACAAGGCTACAAGACTCCAACAAGTTCTTTTGAAAATGGCATTGTGAAGCCTTTCACCATTTGTTCATTGTGGTTTAGGTCAGTAATGACCAAAGGTAGTAACCACATTCTGATAGCTGTCTGGCTTATTTGAAATGACATGGGATCTTAGTCTATCTTACAGTGGACAAGAAACCCTCTCATAATTGATATCCTTGTTGGTAGCTTCAGCAGAGAAACTAAGGATTCATTTTACAAAGATGGTAAACCGCCCTCTCATCTCTGCAGGTCATGTCTTTGAACTGCAGTTAAGCTACATTGTGGGGGTCAGTGTGAGGAAACCCAGTTTGTGTCTGATACAGCCATAAGTTTTATTAGAGGGTCCATTCCATCCTCCTGCCTTTAGCAGTGCTTCAGATAAAGGCTTTATTCTGGCAGGTCATCTGCTCATTCTGTAACTAAGACCACTCTTATATAAGCAAAATGGAAAGAGCAAAACTAGCCAGATCTACAATTAAATTAAATTAAACTGTGTCATAAGAGATGCAGGAAAAAATCACATCTTGAGCGCAACAGTTGAGCTGCCTTAAGCCTCAATATAGACATAGGGAGGTTGAAAGTATTCTTCCCAAAAAAGCCGTTCCATCGCTATAGAATCATCTACACTATGGGCATTACAGTGGCAAACCTGCAAGATTGTCTGTTCTTCTAGCTCCTGTTGTATGGGCATAGCCTCTCTCTCTTTAACCTCTATATTTAACCCATATGAAAACATATGTGCACTGAAGAATAACTAGTGAATATTAATATATGAAGTTTAAGTTAGCACTTTCTCAAATAACAAGTATTAAGATGTTAGCAATAAATAATTATTTCAAAATCTAAATGCATATTTTAATGTTTTCACATATATACTAAAACTGCTACTTCATGGAGTCTTGAAACTTGATTGAAGCGCATATATATATATATATATATATAAAATTAAAGTTGTTTTGTAAACAAGTTGTGACTGTTCATTACTTTGAGCTTACTATTTCACAGAATTTTCATAATCCTATTTAAAACAAGCTAACATTTTTACCTTTAATTTTCTCATTGGTAGTACGGTATAGTGACCAGCCTACACTGTTATGAAAAGCTAAATGTGGAACATATATAATCTGTGTTTTGCTAAAGGTAAATTACTGTATTTTTCTACATAACTTGATTCTGAATGTACTAAAGCAGTGATAGTTTTGCAGGGGGAACCAAGATATTTAAAAGAGGAGCAAATACACTTATCACTCCAAATTTAAGTATTTAAATAAGTGACCTAATTATAAAAATTGCTTCAGATCCAGTAGCTCCTATTGAAATTCCAATAGTGACCTGCATTCTTGATTTAAGTTGATGGTGGCTTATGGGTGCTCAGCTTTTTTGAAAGCCAAGTCCTGTCCTAGCCTCTGCCTCTTTTACTGTTGTAGACACATGCTAAATGAGTAAAGATGAGCTCCCATGAGGAGCAATCTCCTGTTAGGTCACGGAAGAGGAACTAGTTTGCAGAATCTTCTTAGATTCATAGTTACCAAGGCCAAGGGGAATGAACAGAATAGGCAATCATTAAGTGATCCATTCCCTGTCGCTCATTCCCAGCTTCTGGCAAACAGACTAGGGACACCATCCCTGCCCATCCTGTTTAATTGTCATGGATGGACCTATCCTCCAGAAACTTATCTAGTTCTTTTTTAAATCCTGCAATAGTCTTGTCCACAGCATCCTCTTGCATGGATTTCCACAGTGTGACTGTGTGTTGTGTGAAAACACAATTCCTTTTGTTTGTTTTTAAACTTGCTGCTTATTAATATAATTTGGTGACCCCCTCCCCCCCGTTTTCTTATGAGAAGGAATAAATAACACTTCCTTATTTATGTTCTCCATACCACTCATGATTTTATAGCTCTCTATCCTGACCTTCCCTTAGTCATCTCTTTTTTCCAAGTAGAAAAGTCCCAGTTTTATTAATCTTTCCGCATATGGCAGCCTCTCCATACTCCTAATGATTTTGTTGCCTTTTTCTGAACCTTTTCCAATGCCAATACACTTTTTTTTTTAAATGGGATGACCACCTCTGCATGCACAATTCAAGTTACAGGGTGTGATGTAGTGGGGGTACTTGCTGGGATGTGGTGACCCCTGCTGTCTGGAGCAAGACCCAGCAGGGAAAACCTCACTAGGCAGAGGTAATGCCAAACTTGTTGAACCAGTGGCCAGACACCCCCCATGGAGAGGAACAAAGGAAGGTGAATGCGGCCCTGGCTGGGGGGCAGGGCTGGAAGTGGGTTAGTTGGTTGGTGGCTGTCTGTGAGGATGGATGAGACAGCCTAGGGAGAGGAGCTGGAGTTTAGGGGCCCAGTCTCCCCCATCTCAAGGGGGCCTGAGGCATCCTAGCCCAGTTCCTGTAACCAGATTACATCTGTGCTGCGCTGTGCTGGAGGAGCAATAAACCACCCTCAATTCCACTGGCTGGTACAGTCTGTTTGTGCCATTTCGGGGTGCAGGAGACGGGGAACCCCCAACGTGCCGTCACACAGGGGTAACATGGACTTATGAGGAAAATGGTATTTTCTGTTGTCTTCTGTTCCTTTCTTAATGATTCCAAACATTTGGTTTGCCTTTTTTAAGTGCCACTGCTTAGTCAGTGAATATTTTCAGAGAACCATCCACAGTGATCATCCACATTGCTCAAGACACCTCTCTTGACCAATAACAGCTAATGTAGACCCCATCATTTCATATCTATTCCCTTGTATTTATCACCATTGAATTTCATTTGCCATTTCATTGTCCAGTCACCCAGTTTCACGAGATCCTGGTGTAGCTCTTCTCAGTCTGCTTGGGACATGAATAGTTTTGTCATCTGCAAATTTTGCCACCTTATTGTTTACCCCCTTTTCCATATCATTGTTGAATATGATCGGTCCCAGTAAAGATCCCTGAGGGACACTACTTGTTACTTCTCTCTCCATTCTGAATATTGACCATTTATTCTTAACCTTTGATTCCTGTCTTTTAACCAGTTACCAATCAATGAGAGGACCTTTCCTCTTCTCTGACAGCTTACTTTGCTTAAGAATCTTTGAGACCTTTCTGAAAATCTAAGTACACTATATTCACTGAATTCCCCTTGTCCTCATGCTTGTTGATCACTCAAAACAATTCTAGTAGATTGGTGACACACAATTTCCCTCTACAGAAACCATGTTAACTCCTCTGCAATGAATTATGTTCCTCTGTGTCTGTGTCTGACCATTTTTTTTTTCCTTTTACTATAGTTTCAACTGGATTTCCTGAGACTGAAATCAGGGTAACCAGCATGTAATTGCCAGGATCACCTCTGAAGCCCTTTTTAAATATGGGGGGGGGGGAGGGCTGGCAGAACTAGGACTGGAAGTTGACTCATTCCCAACCCACTCTGTTCATTCATGGTTTAAGACTTGTCACAGAAACCAGTGGCACTCAGCCTTTCCAGAATAGTGTATCCCTTTCAAGAGTCTGATTTCTCTTGTGTACCCCCCAGGTTTCACCTCACTTAAAAACTACTTGCTTACAAAATCAGACACAGACATGCTAAAGTATCACAGCACGCTATTACTGAAAAACCGTTACTTTCTCATTTTTACTATACAGCTAAAAATAAGTCAATTAGTACAATATTTATATTCTTACATTTCAGTGTATAGTATATAGAGTCATATAAACAAGTCATTTGTATGAAATCTTAGTTTGTACTGCCTTTACTTTATATCTAGACTTCAGTAAAATTAGGCAAATATCTAGATGTCTCCCTGGCCTGGAAGACAGCTATGGACCCCAGGGGGAGGTGTACCCCAGTTGAGAACCTCTGATGTAAGTCACTATTTAAAAATACTGCTGCAAACTTAAATTAAAATCTAAAATTAGACTATAAGCCTGGACACAAAGCACAATACCTTATTTAGTTTAAGGTTTCGTTCTTTTAACTTAGATTGGAAACAATTGAACATGGCAACATTTTCAGCCTCAGCAACTCCTACTCTCTTCTTGAGCAAGCTATGCCCACCTTCAGGCCATACTTTTTTAATGATGATGAGGTCATAAATATTAGAGATGGGTCCAAAGTAAAATCCTGCATCCAAACAATGTTTGAGGAAATGTGGGTCTTGTACCAAACATAATGACTAGTACATCTCTGGACAGAACTTAAAATCCATATCCAGATATCCTTAAACTTTGAGAAAATATGGATCTTTGCTGTTCTTCTGGTTTTTTCCATAACTGAGAGATGAACTGGTTGTAAGGTGTAGTACTCTCCATTTGAGACTGTGCTGTGTTCTTTAGCTTGATTGTCCTTTTTTCTTCTTGATTACATCTTTGGTGTATGTCTGTGGCGCCAGAAGCCATATTAAAATGGACTGTGATCTTCGAAGCAACTTCTTATTGGAGAAGTGCATGCTTATAAAATGTGAGGGGAAGAGAGTAAATGGAAAAATTGTGCCCAGAGAGTAAGAGATGGAGATCAAGTATTTCTGCACATGTGGATTAGTAGTTGGTCTTGTTTATCAAAATCTGGTCTAAATAAATAGTAACTCTTTTTAAATAAGAGTTTCTAGAGCAGCAGCTCAGTAGTAACAGTGGCTTTACCACATTGATACCTGAAATTTTGCAGCATGGAGAAACAGTATTGAATGATCTTGCCAACACACTGCTGCCAAGAGAGAGACAATATGGAATGTTTTATAAGACCTTTCATAAATGACAAATCTAGCAAAGGATACATTCTTCCTCTCTGCTTTCACATGAATGTGCTCTTTAATAGTTCATTTACTTCATTCTTCAACAATTTTATGCCTTATGCCCACCATAAGTCTTCCCAAATACTTAGTTAAGTTCTCAGACTACAGTCCCAAGTTTATCCTGGCTTTGAGGACCTATAGGAGTCTTTCCTTGATGTGGGAAACTAAACACACACACTGTTAATGTTTTAACCAGTTGTAGATTATGTATCGTTATGCTGTCCAAAATGAACATTTGGTCTTTGCTACATCTACTTTATCAATTTAACAAGAAAGGTCGTGTGGCAAGAGGGAGAGTGGAAGAACAGTGAAAAAGAGTGTCTGCTTTTCTCAGTTGCCGCACCCTTTGCTATTCGGTGCTGTGATTTAGTGACTGCCAGATGATGACATTGGAAGATTTTTCCAAGAACCCTTGAGCAGTGCTAGATTGTTTACCCAGACTAATGCTGACAAAAATCAGTAGCAAGAAATGAAGCTCAGTTCCCAGTCTTTACCAGCCATTATCTACATGTTCTTTTGATTAGACTGGTAATGGCTCATAATGCCATTGACCTACATTCAGTTTAGTTTAGAGAACAGATATTGTATATAAGAGGCTGGCATACCCACCAAAGTACTAATGTATTGTAAAGAGTATTTCCAACTAGCTGAATGCATTTAAAAATGCAATAAAAATTACTGACAAGTTGTGCTCACCTTATTTGGCTTTAGCAATCTCATGACTATTCATTCTAAATTCCAGTCTTTTGTCCAGACCTACTAGAATTCTCACCCACGAGACATCAATGTTTGTTGATACAGCAACTTGCTTTAATTTAAAAAGAGCCAAATCTTTTTCATTTTAGCTCATTATCCTCCATTTATTTTCCTACTTCAAGATGTATTTTGTACGGTACTTTGGTATTTGCAGAAATTATTTAGTTAAATATACTTTTTATTGCAAGTCACTTTGCTGTGACAAACAGCACAGAGTTTGGTTTGTATGCAGAATCCAGTTTCTATTAGCCTTTAGATTGTAGCTTCAGCAGGGGCGAAAGGATAGCATAATTACTTTAGAAATTCAGTTGATAAAATCAGGGGCTTAGAGCTTGCTGTGGGTTACAGAAGAGCTTCTATTCTAAACCCCTCTTCACTCACCTAACTTCCCAATATATTCTCCTTTTTTAGTTCAATTTTTCTAAGCCCAAATAAATCCCTTTAGTAGTTTTTGAGTTAAGGGAGAGATGGAAAAAACTCTTTTCCATTTAAAAAAACATCCAACCATGCTTTTATTTTTGTTGCATAGAGTTATAGTGAAAACAGATGACATTTGAAACTTGGCACTGGAAAAATCTTCTCTCCATTCTCCACAGGCAGACAGACACTCCCTCTGCACACCTCTTTCCAACCGTGGCTTACTAAGGAATTTCCTCCCCTCTGATCCTCCAGGTAAATGGTCATAATTCCAGGTGTGGAATCCTTTATGCTAACAAGATGACCTGTTGTCAATGATCCCAAGTAACTCCCTTCAA